CTGCTGAATCCTCTCACCACCCCTGCACCTCTGGCCTGTACCCCAGTTCTGTATGCATAAATAAATAGATCTTAAAAATAATAAAGATGGGGTAACTGAGAAGCCGAGGGGAGGCTGACTAAGACTACACTGTAAAACTGGTCCAGCCAGGCTTTGACTGGGCAGTTTTGATTCTGGAGTCTATTCTCTTAACTACCATTCCTACTGTTTCTCTAGTCCTTTAGCAAGGAAACACAGCTTCCTGTTGTGATGTGCAAGTAGATTTTAATGACCTGTTTTCCTTTCGAATGGCCTGGGCTCTCCCTGGAAGTCTGGTGACTAGAGGTCATTTGAAGTCATGCTTACTATGCACAGACTGGAAGCTTCTTGGAGAGGGGACCACAGCCCAAAGCATCCTCAGTGCCAGTGCCTGGCGAGTGTGGGAAACATTGTTGAGTGAGAAGATTTGCTTCTTACTGTCGCATCTGCTCAACACGCCTCTCTGAGCTCTAGTATATGTAACCCAGCAAAAATGAAGGGAACACTCTGGCCCCAAAGAATCTGCTTCCTCTTTAAATAAGCAAGCGGACTGGGAATAGAAAGGTGGCAGTTTGGGTCCTAATTATTCAAACAGCGTGTCATTCACTGATTTTCTATATGGAAATATGGACTGACTCACACACGCTGTGCGTATTAGGTCAGTGCTTGCTGCTACAATGAACAAACCCTCTGACAGCAGCACTTCAGCACAATGATTTGTTCTCACTCAGCCATATGGTCACAGGGTGGCTTCATTCCTCAAACCACTCCAGGCTTTTTTTTATCTGGTGGTCCTGCCATCTTCTGGGGCTCTGGAATCCTCCGCTTCTTTTTCTCATGTTAACATTGGCTGGCGTCATCATTTGTGTTTTAGACACATAGGTTTCACTCAGGTTTTGTTACTACACCACACCTACCACCAAAGCACCCACAGTTCATCCCCAGGCACATTTTTTAAAAACCCTGACCTGGAAGTAGCCAATATCACTTTTGCTCATATTCCTTTACAGAAAACCCGTCACATGAGATCACCTGGATGCCAGGGAGACTGGGGGATAAATCGCGGCTCAGCACCAGCCGGTCAGCTTCCCTGTGGAGGGAGGAGCATGAATTCTGGCTGGGCAGTTGGCTGACTTCCACCACTGAGGGGATGAAGCACCGCCTTAGCCTGGCCTTTGATGCTCAGTGTCTAGCAGACGATGCCCTTCCGTTAGAAATGTCACCATCTTGGACAACTTTTCAAAGCGAGCCTAGAAAGTGGGAGACCCTGTGGATGTAGGCTGGGCTGTCAGGCAGATGCAAGGAGTCACAGCAAAGCCTGAGAGTCAGAGACTAGGTGCAAACCCTGTCTCTGGTGGTCGCTGCCTCATCACAGGCCCCTTAACTGAGAACCAGTATTCTTGACAGCTATTTGGGGATCCAAACCTCTCCCTGCTATTTTAGGGTGGTTAGAAGTAACATATTTAAAGGCCCTGGCTGACAGATAGTCGATTCATGATGACTGGTGTCACTAGAATAAAGATTTCTCAGGAAAGCAAATATGCCTTCTTTTAAGTTGCTTTGGAGATCTAAAATGTGATAATGAACAACGAATGAGTCTTCTGTACACATAAGTTGTAGGATGGTGTGGACGAATGAACACAGCTGGCACGTTGGTCCTGTATCCTGAGCAAAGTCCCACACCAGTCTCATCAAACACTACACTGAAACTGTTTGCCATGCCCTAAAATCCGTGGAGCCATGGGATAGCGAACATTCATATAATATTGATTGTCGTGACTTATCAAGGGTTATTATGACGGTCCCCGGGGGATATATTGTTACTAACACCAATGTCCTATTATTGCCATAGCTGTTTTGCAGATAAAAAGACTGAGGCATACAGAGGGGTAGAATGCTCAGTCACTAGTGGTGGAATAAGGATTTGAACCCAGGCAGTGGGTCTCTAGAACTCAAGCTCCTAATCAAGGAGCCTGGGATCTTGTTGGCGGAAATGCTTTATCTGTGTGAAAACACTGGAATACAATGCATGATAACATTGTGAAGTGTGGTTCAAATTATGAATGCTCTAGGAATTCAGTCTGGAGAGGAACTCCCAGGGCTCGGCTTGCTGTGAGCCAGGCATTGTCCTGGTGTTTTCCAGCCTTCCCATTTAAGGAGAGCTAGCATGGTTTAGGGAGAAGAGGAACTGGACAGGTAGGCTTTAAATCCTTATGCTGATAATTACAACCTATGTAATCTCAGGCAAATTACTTAACCTTTCTGATATGGCTTCCTCAATTGAAAAGAGGGATTAGAATGACTCCCTTATAGGGAAGGGTTTATTGTCATTGAATAGTAGCACTGGAGGGTAGGTGTTACTCCCTCAACAAATATCAATTAAGATCCAGACACCTGGGAACAGCACCATGAGCCAGAATAAACTATGATATGCTATTGTAACAAACAACCCTCCCTTCCCCCCAGTCTCACTGGCTTAACACATACAAGTTTAATATTTGCTTATGCTACTTTTGCATTACATGTTAGCTGACTATTCCATCTTTATAGAGCCAGGCTGACTGGGGGAGGCTCTGTGTCTGTAATTTCATGGTTATTAAGATAGGGTTGCTCACTTGTGTTTTCAGAATTGTTGAGACACCAGGATTTGCCCTGGGCTCTTACATTTCTACTTGAAAAGCCAAGCATTTCACTCCTCTCATTCCATTGGTCCAAGCAAGTCATATGACCATCTCTGATATTCTAACACATTAGGGAACAAACCAGAAAATACCTGATGAAGAGCTTTAATTACCTCTACAGGCCTGATCTGTTTACCTATTTACCTGCAAGTTCATTATTTTAAGAAGAGGAAACTTGCAGGTAAATAGAGAGGCCAAGTTCACAGAGCTTATGGGGTGGGGGATGGGGATGGCAGACTCAACTTGCCTTTACTTACCCTGACGCTTCAATCTGTCTGCACCCGTGCAGGTTTTGCGTAAACGCACAGAATGAGTTTCAGGACTGGGGCAGGGAAGCCCTGCAAATGTGGAGGGCAGAAAAGGAATAGAATAAACATGGCCTTTGTCTTTGTATTATGCAATCACCAGAGTGCTCCTGGGGAAGTCGGGAAGGGACAGTAGGGTTTATGTCAAGCATCTGGGGAAGCTGGACCAAACCAGAGGGAAGGTGAATCTGATGACTGGTTTTAGGCCATTATGCTGGAACAGGCGGGGCCAGGTGGAGGGCTGGCTGTTTGTAGGAGTCCAGTGTAAGGTGATAAGGGATAGAAATGCAGGAAGGGTGAACCTGAGAGCTAGTGAGGAAGGCGAGGGCATGCTCACTGGTGCAGAAGTAAAGACCCACAGGACAAAGAGGCAAAGAACCAGTGTACTTCACACACACACACACACACACACACACACACACACACCACACACACACACACACACTTTTCCTCTTGGTTTCTTCCTCAATTTTCTTGCTACTTCTTAGGACCACGAGGGCAGCGTCTCCAGGGTTGGAGGCCCTCCCTGCCTGACCCTCAGCTTGTGGGGTGCAGTCCCTATTACCATGTCCAGGACCTGAGTTCTTCCAGTTAAGGAGCCTCCCAAGGACCCAGGGCCAGCAGACTGCCCGTGGCCTTCTGCTCCTGGGCCCTGGGCCCTGCTCCATCTGGCTTCCCTGCTTTGCCCACCTCCAAAGCTTGCCTCTGTGGCTGGATGCGCGCCCAGCTCTGTCCTGGGGTCTCTAGCACCCCTATTCTTCCATGGCCCCATCTCTCCCTCCTGCGCAGGCGGCCACTGGTCTGAATCCCGGATGGTTCTGCAGGACCCGAGGTCAAGCCAGGGCCTCAGGTTCAGCCTCCGAGCCTCCCTTTCCCTCCGATGCCACCGAAGCTCCCCGCCTGGGGTTCTTCGGGGTGCGCAGCTGCCCCAGGCAGCGCCCCGTCCCCAGCCAGCGATGGAGGCCGGGGATGCCAGCCCAGGCAGGCGGAGGGGGGCCGTGACTCACCGCCTGTAACCCAACACCCGCCGGGCCTCCCCTCCCCCAGCGGCTCCCCCGTCTCGGGCCTGGCGGCCGCGGCGATACCCAAAAGAAAATGACGGGGCGCCCGGGCCCGTGGCGCCCCCGG